TTTACAGTCAACATATTATTTGAAATTTTGATTAAAAGTATTTAAAGAAATTAAATAGAATATTTAAAATAATTATAATTGACACATAATTCAAAGACTTTTCTACTAAGAAAGGGAAATATCAATTTAACTTGAAAAACCATATATACGGAGTGTATATCTCAGTTGATTCGATAAGCAAGAGCATGCTCTACGTATGAACAATATGTAAAACGAGGAAAATTATTGACAAGCCAGTTGATGAAACAAGAATATCAGCGGTCTCGTTTAAAGTCATCATTTCGTACCTTCTATTGTATATACATTGACATTGTCAGTCAAATGCTGACTGACGTTTTTCATTCTAATTGTTAGCCCATCATTTATACACTGAATTGACAACGGATTTTTCCGTTATTTCCCGATCATGACAAGGAGCACACGGCGTACGTGACCGATCAGCAGGGGATGCTCACTGCTCAATGATCCTACCTCTGATGTTTCGGAGGTCCATGTTTGCTCTGCTCCTATTTTGTATTGTTTTATGGACTTTGAATTTGAATACTCTTTGTTATCTCCATATTCTTCCTTACTTTAATGAAATGTTTCACTTCTACATGATGTTATTTGTTTTGCCTGCGTTTAACAAAAAGCAAACTCAGTCGTTTGGCAGTAAAACTAAGGAACATAAAAATTAATGAAAGTCGGAATTGGCTTTTTAGGGTTTATCATAAATCAAAATGGAAGTACCAAACTTCAATGTACATTTTATTTCGCAGATCGACTCAAAAACGAAATGCACGAAAATTTGTGATCCAAGTACGTATAATGATGAAAGCGGAGCAATCAGCGGTATCGATAATGTGTATTTTTCTATAATCAATACTGAATGTAATTTATTCCTGTACACCCAAACATTGGTTTGAATCTTCTAGTTTATATTCATATCATTATGAATTCTCCTCATAAAATGGATAAACTTTTCTAACAATGAATATCCGTTTGTTTATTACCTTCATACAAAATCCCTGAAAAATTACTTTCGACTATTGCTTTGAAACATAAATAATTCATGTACTCTAAAACCAAATATTATTACCAAAACAACAAATAGGGTGAGAAAGATGTAAAGAAGCTAACTATCCATGAAAAAAAACTAAATATCTAAGAAATGGGTTTAATTTTTTGTTGAGTTAATGGTAGGTAAATTACACGGATTTGACATGTTTAAGCATATTTCATGAAGCGCGCTAGCGTGCAAGCCTTTGTGGTTTTAACACCAATAATTCACAGTAAACGTAGAAACATTCCTTATAAAAACATTTTACATGTTTAAAAGCACAAAGAATATACTCAATTTTTGACTTTCCCGGCCGCTGCCCTATATCTTTTTATATTTATATTGACATCTCTGTAGGCTTACTGTGATACCTAGGTAACATTTAAGCCGCTGGTCGGTCGACTTAATTTTTCTAGTCTTGTCAGCTGAAAGAACATGATCTGTCGACACGATTATCGGGCGACACGGAGCAATCACATCAATTCTTAGGAATACTGATAACTTAAATATATAATAGCACAAAATAGCAGAAAAAATCTTTTTTTTTAGAAATCAGAAATATTTTTATAGATCTATATTGAAATAGGTTACGTGAGTAGAGTTTGCAAGGCAAAGTAGCAGAATTTAGTAAGAATGTGACACAATGTTGAAAATATGTATTGAAAAAAAAGAGTACAGAATCGCATAAAAAAAACGACAAATGACGCATATTTAGGCAGCAAAGAATACTTATGATTTTTTTATGCTGACAAAACTGACCGACATTGTCTTTAGTGAAGGAGAAACTTAAGGAGCACTGCAGAACAATGTCACGACACCCTGTTGGTTGATCAGTGATAACAATCGTGTTTCTATTTACAATTGTCTATAAAAGCAAATATTTACGATATATAAAATTAAAAAAAAATTAAAGAAAAAATTTCTATCGTCGTCCATCTTGAAGCCTCATGTCCTATATTCACCCACGTCCATTCCCTCCGTTCTTACGGTCCATGTAATGTAAACATTGCACACCTCCTCACAACGTCCTTAGCGTCCTTTGCAGCGTATTCCACAGAGCTGATTAAAAACCCAGGAAAAACCGTTCTTATTATTATTCGGTCTCCGCCTTGGTCTTGTGTATTGGTTACCATCGTCGACATCACCAAAGCATCACTATGTTATCACACATATGTATCTACAGGAACCTTCAACAAATGTTTGTAGAAATTAAGCAACTTGACCTCAAAGTGGCTGTCCCACTACACATAAATGCTTAAAAATATGTTTTAAAACATTCAACAATTTTAACTACTAGTAGTAAAAAATCATTCCGTTTCGTATGACAAAGCAAAAAAGATGTACATACCATGATTTAATTAGTCATGAATGTAATTATGCCTTACTTAGTGTTAACCGTTATAAAGATTAAAAAACTCATTTACAAATATTCTTTCTTTCTTACAATCTCTGCAGTAAAATAATGTATTCTATTTATTGAATGAAAATTATATTCCGTCACAGTGTAGGTTTATCAAATTGATATTCTTTTACAGTGTGACAAATATCAGATGTGCGGAAAAACTTTTAATTTTCTTTCCCATAACGAAGAATGTTTTTTTTAAAAATACCCATTAGCCTGTTATAAGATGGGCGGAGAAAATTAACCATTCCCACTAAAAATAATTAAAATCCTCTACATGTATTAATTTAAGCTGATACAAACAGTGGTGTTATAAACACAGAAAATTTAGCTGAATATAGAACGCCTTTTACTCAGGATCCACCATTCTTACGAACAGGATATGCCCTGAAGCAGCAGAACTTTGTCATTTAAAATTCTTTGAAATCGAAACTGCGTTTTCGATTAATATGGGGGCCTATATCAGAAAAGTGTTTTAAAGTCCATTTGAATATTTAAAATATTTTCATTTTTTGTTCATCCAAGCTTTTATCTCTACGGTTTACAACAAGTGAAATGTGTCTAATTGGAACAATTTTCTACATAACATGCATTACTATTTCTTTTGATTATTTATCTTTTGAAATACAACTCAAATGGAATTTAAATGTTTGTTAAATATGACATTAAAGAAACAAAGGTTTAATAACATACTTTGGATTTCATTTTTTAATATTTTCAATTTCTCCTTTACAATCGCTGTGCTTTTCAAATGATTAATGCAAACAGTGATCATGTAAAAAGCAAAGTCATCATCAACATTGCTATAATAAACGACTTTGAAAAAAACAGAGGGCAATATGTTGATTTTTTTTTCGAAAATTAAGTTAATTAGTTAATTGTTATAACGAATTTTTTCAACTAAAAACGTAAAGATGCTAGAGTTTCGGCTGATGTTAAGTGTTATTACATCTGATTGTATTATTAAGACAGCAAAACGATTTGATTTTTTAAATAAAAGATAAATTGTGATATATGGTTTAAATAAGAAAATAGCATGAAGAGAATTCAGGTTTATTTTAAAATCAGCTTTCACGTATTTCCAGCCACCTGAAGCGGTCGATTATCTGACATGAAAGGATTTATTTCTTTTGTTTGTTTGTCTTCTTTTCTTTTGTGAAATACAAAAAAGTATACCTAATTAGTAAAACAGTGAAAATCCTTTAAACTCTCAAATTTGAACAATGAAATACTTTCCTTATATTGGAATTTAGTTTTCGACAATGCAGAAAAAAATTAAGGAGTCACTGTCTAGTTAGTATAGTATGTCACGGCATCAACGATAGTGGGAAACATGGGATAATTTGCATAACGGGCGAAGCCCGTTATGCATAAATTATCCCATGTTTCCCACTATCGTTGATGTCCCTGGCATACTATTCTAACTAGAAAGTGATTCCTTATACATGTATTTCCATTTCATTGTGAAATAAAACTGTAGATTTAGACTTTAAAAATATAGACATAGACTTAAATCACATGAGGACTTCCGTGCCAATTTCATGCCAATTTCAATAGCTCTCGCCCACTGACGTCAAACAGCCGCACGAGATTTACATGCATATTTGGCCTCCTTAGCGTCAGTCACAGAGACAGCTGCGCACAAGATTTGCATGCATACTAGGCCTCCTTAGCTCCTGACCTATCGACCTGCCTAGTTTACATTCCGGCAGAATTATCAAGAAATAAACTCCGACAACATTCAAAGAGTTATCACAGAGAAAAAAATTAGAAATGGAAATATTTGTTAATCTACGTGGGTAATTGTGTATTTTTCTACATTATTCGTTACTGAATGCAGTGGTTTTCCTACATAAATACACAATGGCTTACGTTACATGATTTGCAATTATTTATATATTAATTATTCACATACATTGAGTGAAAGTTCCTTACAATGCATATCATTCTGTTTATCATATTGCTACAAGAGCCTTGAAAAAAATTTAAGTTTAATTTAATTAATCCTGACACTCTGTACTGAGAGAGGTCTTCTGTGGCATGACGAAAGATGGAGGGGTGAGATGGACGGTGGGTAGTGTTTTCATTTTTGAATGATTACCGAATACTAAATAAAATTTCCTTAATTATCTAATTTCTATTAATCTGGAGAAAACCAAAAACTTATGACATCATAAGAGGATGGAAATACCTTAAATCAATATTATGTTTTAACCATTGAACAAGTCTTACAGATCACGTGAGACCTTGTTAATCATAAATAGACAGATCTTAAGGACTACTAATGTATTACGGAAATGAAGACAGTAGAAGCAGTTTATTGTCTTTGTATAACCCATCGCTTAATTTGACAAACATTTATTAATTGAAAAAAAAACGCTTGTAAGTCTTAAGATGATCAGTCTCTACTGCTTTGGACTAATTTTAGTTTTTTTACAGACTTGCAACTTTCAGTGCTTCGACCCATTCGATCCAAAAACGTTATTCCTTAGCAATTATGAAAATTCTTCATTCCCTGGTTTTAAGCTTTTGCACAATGCTGACATTGCAACATGCATGATGACTTGTTTCAAGTTTAATTTGTGTCGCTCAGTAGACTGGATAAAGGAAGAAACTATATGTCGGCTTAACACAAAATTTGGAAACAAGAATGACAGCAGTCTAATGACTAAAGGCCCGACCTTTCATTTCGAACGGGAAAATTTCCCAACGGTAAGAAAAATAATATAAGCCTGAAACATTTAAATAAGAATAAATTGAATCACATTTTAAAGGAATTGTAACTCTTAGTTGATTTAACTTCAGCACTTGACAGGCATTTGTTTGAATCATGCCTGTGCTGAGGAAGAAATCTGCATTGCTGGTCGATGTGTTTCTGTTTTAGAAGGTAAGATTTAAAATTTAATTTATTGTCGAAAATTTTTATTAAATTTTGTGAATCTAAATACACTTTTCTGGTCTAGAAGACAATATATATCATTTTTTATTTCAAAATGCTTGATAAAGTTTTCAATCTTCCTGTCTCTGTTATTTGTTTGGATGATAATTAAGAAATGAGTGTTTTTATGTCAGTTTTTTTCTGTCATATAATAAAACATAATTGCTTAACAAGCTTGTTTATTGCATAAGATGAAATGATAAAATTGAAAAAAAAATTAATCATGAAATAGCAGTAAGGGTTAGGGTTAGGGTAACCATTTGATTAGGATTATCGTGTTTTACAAGCTCTTAAACATACTTTAAAAATAATTTCCTCTAGAAAAAATTCTAGCAAATTAAAACAAAAAACCTCAAGATACACGAAGTTCGAATAAGGCTGTTATTGCAATTATGAATATTTCAATTTAAAGACTTTTGAAGCTGCCATGCTTTACGGAAGAATATCCTGTTTAAATTGTATCAATATCAAAGAAAGTCTATTCTACGTGATTGGAGTATTTATTCAATGAAATATATTGAGATTACGAACAGTCTTCAGGCTAAAAAGTCAATTTTAAGAATACAAATTAGAAACAGAGGAAATCTCAACAATAGCAGAGGCGGAATCAGGTGTCACGGAGGAGTAAGCATTCCCTGCCGACCGGTCATATCCGCAGCGTGCTTCTTATGATCAGGAAGTAACAAAGAAATCCATTGAGAATTATGAGTGTAAATAAGGGCTTAACAATTAGTATTAAAACAATTTGGGCAGTATTTGATTCGGTGATCAATGGCATTTGCTAACAAAGTCACTGTTTTACCCATAGAACTTCCGCAATGATGACTTTAACGAGACTGCTGATGTTCTTGTTTCGTCAACTTGTTTTTTCAATAACTTACTTGGTTTTAAAAATCTTTCACACGTAGAACATGCTCATCCTTATCGAATCAAATGAAAGATATAAATCCAGTGCGCAGGTTTTAATGGTGTATTGCTGCATAAGTAAGGGAAGTTGACGATTGAAAAGCCAAAGTCGTCACGTTTATCTGATACATGGGTTCCAATAAATGTTCTACCAAGCCTCTGTCCTTACTCCTCACTAACATATGAACAGCAGTGAAGGAGAAATTTTCGATGCACTGTTCATCAATACAAAATTCCAACTTTTCAACTTTATATACAGCCATTCCCCATGATGAATAAAGGGTTTTTGACACTATTGACTGCTGCTTTTTTATGAAAGGGAATTTGTAAATTTATTTATCTTGTCAATGGTCCTTTGAAAAATCATTTGATGAAAAACCTTTTTGATTGTAAACTGAAATACTCCAAAATTGATATTAAAAAGAATCTTGAGTTTCTCATTGACAACATTTATGTTTTTAGATTATATCTTCCAACATTCCATTGGATTTCCTGTGGGTACCAATTGCGCCACGTTATTAGCAGACTTATCCTTGTTTTTATGTGAAGCAAAACTGATTCAAAATCACATACATGAAAAAAAAAACCATTTGCGATGACCTTCAAATCGACACTTAGATATATCGACGACATATTATCAATAAAAAAACAGCAATTTCTACACAAAATATACCAGTAAGCTCGGAATTAAAGAATCCAAAGAGTCTCACAAGTCCCATTATGGCTACCTAACATCAATAACCTGTTAATAAATATGATTACTTCTACTTTCTGTCATTCTCTTTCTTTTAGCAATATACACATGTCACCTGCATATTGAGTATATAATAATGTAAGGTCTCCCAGTTGATTCACTATGCAAGAGCATGCTCTACGTACAAAAAATTACTTAAACAAGACAAGCAATTGACAAACAAATTGATAAAGCAAGTCTTGCTTGAATTCAACAGTTCACAAGTTTTATAGTTAATGCAATGTCCTTGTCAGCAAAAAGAACCAATCATTAAGTCAAGTACTATCACTCTTGACATGACAGAGCAACGCGTTTCGTTTATTCAGTTTTTATTCTATTTGAATTTAAAGACTAGTTGATATTCATGTATATTTATAATGAAATTCTCATAAATACTTTGCAAATGGTAATCATTATAAGCTTTGTTGATATCAAGGTATTTATTCTGATTAATGATTTTTTTTTAGAAAAAATAGAAAAAAAGTATAAAGACTGTTCAGATATTGTGAAAAGAGACCAAAGCAAGAGAGGACAAAATGGGGTGTACGTTATTTACGCTGACACCCGGAGAGAGGTCTACTGTGACATGACGACAGATGGAGGAGGGTGGACGGTGGGTAGTTATTTCATTTTTCAATAATAACCGAATACACAATAAAATATCCTTTTCTTACCTATTTCAACTCTAACTGTTGAAATTAAAGACAGGTGCAGGTCTTTTAGGTTTTCATGAGAACAAATTTAACAAAACTTTTTCATGAAGATATTATATCTCTTCCTGGTTGGGACGTGTTAACTGTCCTGCGAAATAAGCACCTAAATATGGAATTGCAATCGATAGACCACCTCCCTTCTTGATTAAAGCACTTGCTAAATATGCAGGCAGGGACGATAAAGGCTTCCCATGGCCAGAGAATATTGCAGTGTACTCTTTGCATAAACTACAATTGTATGACGTAATGATTAAATATTAGATCAAATCACTGCAAACTTGAGCTGTAATGATTGGGAGAAATCTTCGTAAAATTTATTATATTTTCAACTAAAAGCGAGCAGGTCTGAATTTTCAGAAATTCACAGGGCCAAAAAAGGCCGAAAGTGAAACTTGTTCTTTGCATATAAATAAGAAAATATACTTGTCGAAATTTCTAAATCCCCACTTTTATTTTTTCAAAAAGTTCAAAACCCTAACATCAATGTACTAGTTGCTCACAATTTTGCCTTTAATTTGCAATGCTTATCTTTCAAGGCAAAAAAAATTGTAATCGAATGCGTAATTACTCGACCGTGACCGTTTTTGTTAAGGACCCTCTCTACACTGCACCTTAATTTCGGGGTACTTGCGTGTAGTTAGACTGACCCACCATCTGACATAAAAAAGAATAAATTGTAATCTGCACTGTATGACAAAATTTTAAAGAAATCCATGTATTCTAAACATTATATTAGACCAAGATAGAGTAAGTGAAAATTTTTTTGCATGTATTTTCTCCGTTTGAATAATCAAAAGCAATTTTTCTTTGTCATTTCTTCACTGTCTTCAAAGATTTTTCCTGGATAAAGAAGGCACGCTCCCTATATTAGAAATGGATTAGTTTATTTCAAAATAGCCTCCTTTACACTATATATTTTTCTCAAAGTCCAAAAAACATTTTTCATCAGTGTATAGAGGGTTCTTAAAAACCATGAAGTTCCAGTTCCATTTGTTTTTCGTGTGTATTTTTCATGTTTTTTACTTCCATGTGTTCTCCATCTTTAATTGATAACGAAAAGCAGAAAAAAGTTTGATTAAAATGCGGTGTATGTCCATAAAAAAAATTGAAAGTGAAGTTGAAATGGCCCAAACGGGTCGTAGTTAAGGAGAATTCTGTTTCCTTTCACTATGTGACTTTATTTTACTTAAAACCTTTATAATTACAACCCGAAAAACATACAAAGCATACCTGAATTCCTTTTAATCATTAGAAATCGCTAGATTTTTTAATAAACACAACAAAATCATCCTAGAGTTTATCCGGAAAAATCAATGGAACCGGAACCGGAAGTGCCCTCCCCCAATGTCAAACTGGAGGAGTGGGTAATACATGCAATGCGACATTATGTAAATATTGTCAGCAAGGCACAGGCACTTTGGGTAAGCCTACTTGTCATCTTAGTCTCAACCCTAACTTACATGTATGGAAGAAAATAGACTATAGTGTGAGACCGCTTTTCCAGCAGCAGAATTTAGCGGAACTAGAGGACGACCTAGTCTCCACATGGAAAAACATTGAATAAAAGAATTTTTCTTAAATAGTGTAAACTCTTTGAGGAACGGTTGTCTTGCTGTGACCTCGTTTGAATGGAGGATAATGCAATATTTAACGTTGTGAATTTTTAATTCAAGTGTGCCATAACGTTTCCGCATATTGTGTTAAAGTGCTTCAATAAAATAAATTAAGTGAGAAAAATTGTTTTGCTACTTTTTCATCCTGTATACTTATTACAATATATTGTTAGAATAATTCAATATAAGAGTGGTGTAAAGCAAAAACTTGCCTGGGTACTTAGAAATTTTGACTAGTATATAACAAAGCTATTTTAACAAGAAGCGATATAATAAAATATCTAGCATTGTGTACAGGTCATTCAGAAACGTCAAGATGGTGACGTCAATTTCTACAGGACATGGATTGCCTATAAACATGGATTTGGGAATGCCTCTAAGAACTATTGGATAGGTATGATCTTATGCTGATATTTTATAAAACTTGATTAAGAAGAAGGTATGGATTTAGCTTAATTGCGACCTAAAAAGTAATGACATCAAAAAGTCTTGAAACTTGCTTCAATATTAGTTAAATAAATTATTCTGATAAATCAGGAAAGAATATGGCATGAAAGTTTACCATTCTGCAAAAATGACGTCTGTCATGAAGTTCTTTTGGATTTTGTGCAGGCAGTAGAGAAAACGATAAGCCGTAGAATAAACAAAACAAAATAAATTTATTTAAATAAAAAAAAAACAAAATAAGAAATTATCAAAACAAACTCACTCTCACTCACCCTCTCTCACAAAGAAAACAAAATATAACTTTAAATTGAAAACCAGATGATATTGACAGTGAAATAAAGATTTAACTTTAAACACAATCAATTGTCAATAAGCAGTTGTTGGTTTCAAACAATAAATTGCAACTTTACTTGAAAAACTCAAATAGAAAAATCAAAACTGTATTACGTTAGTTTTCGCAGAAAAAAAACTTTTTTATAAACAAGATCTGTAAATATAAAATTCGTTAAATGTCAAATTTAACTCTTATCAATGCTTTATTTCTTAAAACCAGAATTGAGAGTTTGACTTTTGGCTATTTTATTCCTTAGAATTTACACCATCGGGCCTCCAAACATCGAACACTGCCCCTCTGATTCCAGCCCTGGACTCACAGGTCTCCCACTGTAAATCTGAAGAATTCAGTCCCTATTATTCAGTCGGGGACGTCACTTAATTTCTATGGACACTGTCCTTGCACACCAGTACCACGCCCTGCGTCAACTATGTGCTCGTGCCGCGCCCTCGCCTCTACACACGACCAAACTCCCCCTTGGGTCCAGAAACCTACTGCCGCCCCAGGTTTATAATCATAACCCCTCTGCACTGAAACAATAATTACTTTATCTAAGACCTAAACACTACTCACTTAAACTACAAATGATAACGGACACAAAACCCGTAAATTTACAACAAAACCCCCAAAATATCTAAAAAGAGAATAGCTCAACGGCTGCAGAAAGAAATGCCCATGCAGTAAATTAAACGACTCCTATGCTACCCGTTCACCAGACTAACTTCTGTTATTTTCTCCCTCGTTTCACTCCTCCGCAAATAAATATTTTCTTGACTAATTATTGAAAAACAAAGATAAAGAATATACTGTAGGATTGTTGCGTTCGTTACAAATCGCATTTTTATTCAAAACATACAAATCAAACTCATAAATTTTACAAGATAAACAATGCAAGGGCTGGGAGGGCAGGGAAAGCCAAAGACACAAAACAACCTGCGATTCTTTGTAACGAACGTCGCATTAATCGAACATTCCCCGGTAAAGGTATTTATAGTGAGCGCTAAATCGCTCATGCATGAAAAATCAGTTTCTTTAGATACGAAGTTTCACGGAGAATACCGAAGTAAAAACGTAAAGAAATAAATTTATTTTCTCCCTCGTTTCACTCCTCCGCAAATAAATATTTTCTTGACTAATTTATTGAAAAACAAAGAAAAAGAATATACTGTAGGATTGTTGCGTTCGTTACAAATCGCATTAAACAAAGGACAGTAGTTGCAATAAAGTATATAATTTTATAATCTAAGATTCATTGAAACCAGAATTTTATGTTCAAGATTGTCTTTTATATAACCGTCTTTGACTTTATCCGTGACCCACTGACCATGTATTTTAAGCAATCCATCAGACACATTAAATTATTAACAGCGGCTGTAACTCCGCCGCTACGTAAAATGTGTAAAGCATATTTAGAACTGTCAAGGCCAATTTCATTTAAAGAAGACAACAATATTTCCCTAATTCTTGTACATGACAGAGGTTTGGATTTATTGAAGGATTTTACAAATTTTACAGCTGTAAGCATGTAATCATTGGAAGACTTATCTATATCTAACATGTCGATGTATTTGTTTAACCAAAACACAGGGCACAAATCGTTCCAGTTTTTGCGATTATCACCGAATTTCCTCTCCTGTAGATATCCCTTTTGCTTCTGGGAATATTAATTTCGATGTGAACACTTTCCCATTTGATATCACATAATCGAATATTTGATAATTCACTGAATCTAAAGAAACCAGAAAATCCCAATAAACACATCACAAAGGATCTTAATTTCAGCACATTAGAAGGATCCTTGGAAGAAAAATCCATCAAATTACGTAACATATCTGTAGTGATAGATTCTGTTTTGCTGATAGGTTTTGATAACATGCGCCTTCCACCTTCAAGCACTAGTTTCAGGAACTTATCTTCGCATGAATTCAAATTTGAAGAAAATTCTTGAGTCCAACTTATACTGTAGAAATACGCTTCCAGAACCGACGGTGATACCCTCCGTTGCACCAAACCTCCCATAAAAAGAGCGACAGTAGACGCTGATGCAGGAAGATGCGTAAATGAATGCTTCGATCAGTCTCTAAATTTAGAGAAATATATGTCGTACAAGATGTACGTTGACTGAGATTTTGCATTTCTCACGATATGCGGCAAAGACTCCACTATATAGCTAAAATGAAGATCGACCTTAAACTTGTCAATATTTATCTACTGGCCTTGATAATTCTTCAAAGTCTGAAATATATAACAATAAAGCACATTAAAATTCAAACCAAATTTGCACAGTAACCAATAATAGCCACGATATTATATCACACATATTTACAAACAACTTTATCATCAAAATAGGAGAGCAGACCTCCATGATTAAAAATCAGTCATAAAATATACGATTTTCAGAACCAGTATGTTAGATTATAATCTTTGTTAGCATTGCAATCATTCAAATCTAGGAGAACAGTCCTCCTTATTGGATAGCAGTCATCCATTCATTTAATTTCAGTATGCATGCACATTGTACACTGGTTAGCAGTCAACCTTTGTGTACTAATCTGTCCATATTTCAGAATCAAAGCTTGCAAATGTACATATAAAATATAGTGTTACAGAGATTACAGTGACATAATTACGAAGCATCCAATCCCAGTGCTATAACATTACTGATTAATTTGTGATCTGCAAATAATCTTATTTTTATTAGAACCCGAAATGAAAAAAAAAAATATTAGTTTTTCTATACTTTTTAATATCTTTCTCCTTATTGGATAGTAGTCATCCATTCATTTGATTTCAGTATGCATGCACATTGTACACTGGTTAGCAGTCAACCTTTGTGTACTAATCTGTCCATATTTCACAATCAAAGCATGCAAATGAACAAGTCATATAAAATATAGTGTTTCAATGACTTAATTACGAAGCATCCAATCCCAGTGCTATAACATTATTAAATAATTTGTGATCTGCAAATATTCTTATTTTTATCAGAACCCGAAATGAAAAAAAAAAAAAAATATATATATATATATATATATATATATATATATATATATATATATATATATATATATATATATATATATATATATATATATATATATATATATATATATAGTTTTTTCATACTTTTTAATATCTTTCTCCTTATTGGATAGCAGTCATCCCATCGTTTAATTTTAGTATGCATGCACATTGTACTAATCTGTCCATATTTCACAATCAAATCATGCAAATAAACATATAAATATAGTGTTACAATGGCTTCATTACGAAGCATCCAATTGCGGTGCTATACCATTACTTATAAATTTGTGAGCTGCAAATACGTTGTTTTTATCAGAATCTGAAATGATTTTTTTTTAACTCATGTTTTTCACTTTGACATTTTTTTTTTTTTAACATGCAAAGATATCGCAAGAGTGAGGTCCCTAAACCTTATTGAAAAATGAAACAATATGATTGCTTATACCCCAATCGCCAAAGCCTGCTTCTAAGTTTTGCTCTCGTGGAACCCATTTACAGAAAAAGTGTATATAGTAAAAGCAAAATATAATAAATCCGAATTCATTGTGCCGATCTGCGAAATTCTAACAACGTTTTGATTGTCTGTGTATATATATGTAGTTTTACAAATTTACTTTTCTAAAACACCACCAAAAATTTTCACCAACATTTCAACTGTTTTAAGTTCTCTAAAAGTTGAACTTCGAACTCTCTCTGTTTCGTCCCACCAAAGATGAAAAACTTTCTTAGTTGAATCTAACATCACTCCACCCAATGCAGAATCACTAGCATCAATAAAAACAATGCACTCCAATATGCGATATCATGGGGAACTAACCCTGGCGGAAATATATTTTATTTTAATTTTCTATTTTATTTTATTTTATTTATTTATTTATTTATTTATTTATTTTTATTTATTTATTTATTCATTTATTTATTTATTTTTTAACAAAAACTCTAGCTCACACCAGACAGGAAGTGAAATATTAATATTTTCATCCCAACATGATGCATTAGTAATAAGCATTGACAATTGTCTAATTGTTTTTAGACAAACAGACCCAAATGCAAACCTAAACGAAATAATACTTAATACTATTGAAGCGAGATCTCTAGCAGATTTTTTTTTTTTTTTTTTTAATCTTGCTACATAAAACTAATTTATGTCGAGGGATACCAATACAACCGACTTCTAAATTCCACTCGAAACTTTTGCACTGAGCTCCAAACGCTCTTACATGTAGCATCATTAATAAGAAAACCAGCATGCAACAAATCTTTTTAAATATTCTGTAAAATTAAAATACTATTTCGTTTGATCGCAAACCAATCCATCGTCTAAATACATTATAACTCCATATGCTTTTGCTCTCCAATACAATACTAGTGGTCTTAATACTTTAGTAAAATATAACCAGCACTGTTGAGACCGAAGGGTAGGACTGAATACGAAATAATGCTCTGAGCCATTGAAATTCCAGGAAAAAATTTACATGATGATATTCACTTGTTAAATAAAATTTGATCACTAATAAACCTTTTTCAGCAAAAATTGAGACCCTCTGAAGACCCCTCGAATTTGAAATTTCTCTTTAAAACGCATGCATTCACTTATCTAAGATCAACAATAAAAATTAGCTTTTTATTCAATGGCGCTGAAACGGTCAGTGGATTAACATAATGGGGCGGTTCAAATCATTCAATGGCTAACTCTTTTCTCAGCATTTCTAAAATGTACGTTTCAAAAACATGGAGTGGGGGCGCTCTGCAATATTGATTTGTTGTTAGACAAAGATACAATTTCAGAATATGATAGAAATTCTATACTATAACCAAATTTGATAACATGTAAGATATAATTGTCTGGTTTTATACCATTCTTCCAAATTCAACAGTTTTTTTTTTCTTTTTTAAACGCTCTTAAACTGAAGTGATTGAATTTGCATCAAACACTGTCAAAATCAGATTTATAGTCTAATAAATAATTATCTTACTCAACTTCATTCTAAACCTCGCAATCTCTCCTCGCTGAGCTGAAACTGCTGTTAAATAAACTGACAGCGTCAAAGACATCAAAATCCTGACCAGAATTGGAGTTTGTCTCTGTACGTAGTTCTTGAGGAACATCTTTATTAGTTGAACTTGAAGATAACATTCTGTAGACATGCCAAAGACACAAAACAACCTGCGATTCTTTGTAACGAACGTCGCATTAATCGAACATTCCCCGGTAAAGGTATTTATAGTGAGCGCTAAATCACTCGTGCATGAAAAATCAGTTTCTTTAGATACGAAGTTTCACGGAGAATACCGAAGTAAAAACGTAAAGAAATAAATGAATTCGCCATAGAAAATCGACTACAGGAACAAAATCAAAACATGGCCACACACTTGACAAACAGCCACGACTCTCCCTGACCAAACCGGTTATACTAAAAATATCTCTGTAAGCGAACACTCTTTCACTCTATGGAACCCAACTAGGGATATAATTACAACTGTTTACAAAATAACAAGAAAATAAACAACATAACTCAACTTCAGCACAACGTCATTAATGTGAAGCATGTTTCTATTTTCAACAGAAAAAGCCTCAAAATGGCACATTTCAGGGGTTATTTTCCTTCAGAGACAGTGTCCATAGCATAGCCGTCGCCCACGTTAAATTTTTAATATTTTGTGCAAAATTCAATAACAACTCACATACATGTATCTCAGGATCTTTGTGGGCGATGCCTGTGGAAAATGTCATCTGAAAGAAAATTCCATTGAAAATTGGTGTCTTCTGCAACTTTTTAAGAAAATACGGGAAAATGCACATGTTTATGACTTCATAATTATCATTTAAAACACGTGAGAAAAATGACTTGTATGATTTTTCTGCATTGAATTTCAATTATTTAAAAAGCATGAGTATTCAACTTTTACACCAGTTTCATTTTTTAGAAAATCACAGGGAAAAATTTGTATGGAAACCATTCCTTCTTCTTTGAATTTTCGAAATAGAAGGAGAATATACATGTATTCATGTCCAGTTACCCTGTCAAGTACAATATTGTCAACAAAGTTATAAAGGAATAATTTATACGATATCGTGTTAAAACCTTTTTCTCTGTCGACATTAGAACATTAAAATATATGGACCATAGATTTGAAATTTAATTTCATCTTTGTCAAGATCACTAACATTGCAACGGCAATATAGAGAATAATGATCTTTGATTAAGTCTTTCTTTGTGGCAAAATTGCAATCAGATTAAAACTGTAAGGATGAGTAGCATTTTCAAAGAACATCACAGAAATTTTGATTTTAGTTACCTTGGCAACATTAAAAAACCATTAAAGATAACTATGTTTCTAAGTGTAGTCTACATGAATTCAGCATGACCTCATTATATTAAAATCAGATCAGTCTGTAGAAGGAGTATTTTACAAAAATTTCTATATAAGTAACCATCTGATGTGCTGATGGTTTTAATTTTATCATATATATATATATGATGATACAATGAAAACCGGTAGAGTTTTAATCTGCGTTCTGTTATTTTTCACTATTTAGATACTTGTGTGACTTTTTTATCAAAGTTTTGGATTATATATATATATATATATATATATATATATATATATATATATATATATATATATATATATATATATATATATATATATATAAAGCACTAAAAATGACCAACGACACGAACAAGAAAAATTGTCAAATTTTCGGGACGCCCTGTCCCTTCTTCAGGACAAAGAAAAAAGTTAAAAAGTCATAAGAACAAAGGAAAAAGAGAAACAAAAACAACTAGCACTACTACTAAACTACTAAACACTAGATATTTACATACTTAATTACATGTTGAATTGGAAATTTTTAAGAACACTAATAAAGAAAGAAATCCGGAGCGCTATGAAATGCGTCCGGTCTATTGGGTATACTCGGGTGAAGTGCGATTTACATAATTGAACGAATTAATTATGCTAATTAACTACAACAATCAGTAAATCGTACATTGTTTCATTCTCTCAAAATGGCGTAACTTTACTTAATAAAGAATAATCAAAGAAAAATAATATAGCAGGGATATTTAAACATATGAATTATGATCAATTATTAATTTTGAAATATTTAAGGACTTATTACCGGGAAAAAATAATTAACAAAGGTGTAAGTGTGGCAGAGTGAAATTTGTAGTTATTTTTATCAATTTATTATGATTATTCAATTTATTATTTTCATTATTTAGAAAAATTATTTGAATCATGAATTTGTTGAATATTAATATATTTCAGCTACTGTAAGTTATTTTCTTAGATAAGTGTATCACTCATGTGAATATTTTTAACTTTTGCACACTGTATCTATATTTAGAGGGAATACCCTTTTCCTTGTTTTTTATTGGTCAGTGTGGTCAATTGTAAAGAATTTGGTCATGTGATACATTTGGAGGGAAGTTTTCTATTGTGTGTTAAATGTATAGTTCCTGTGCTGCAGTCTTTGTTGTGTCATCCATTTTTTTGTCCAGAATTTTATACCTGTTACAGTAATTGGAATTTTTTCTCATTATCAGGTCAGTTAATTTGTATTTACCTATATAGTCTTTATATTAGATGCATGAATATTTGTTTTGTGATATTAGAAATATTTAGATACGTATGCTATTTAAATGGCTGATTGCATTGAAAACATGAGGATAAGTGTAACATTTATTTTGTAAAGAAATACAGGATTTAAATATAACTATAGATATAGCACAGTGAACTGAATAGCTGAAGTTAGTGTATTTATTTTTACCTTTAGAATTCTCATGATCAAAGGATGTAGACAGTAGATTACTTATTGTAAGACGACCTTTACACCTCATGTGAGGTAAGCATTATTTCTAGAGTATTATGTTGGAAATATATATGTCATGATACATCTAGGCTCACAATACTGGTGAAATATACATGTAAATATTTTCTTTATGAATTCATGTGAAATAAGGTTTTACATGATGGTATACAGTGAAACTTGATTGAATGTATTATCAGTATATTTGTAGTACTTTGTTTATTATAATAATGAGCAATCATAGATATTTTGATAGACACAAATATTTTTGAGTCTTGTGTATAAAGGGAAATAACTAGCATTTTCATTTTATTCTAAAACATGAGCGTAAGAGTTATCTTTCTTACAATGTTGTTTATTAAGCTTTTATTATGTTACAGGGTCAATCTGAATCATTCTATCATCTGTCATTTCATCAATGTATCCAAATAAATGGTGTAAACGTTAGTGGAGTTAGTCATCCATCCATACTGAATTCGAACCGCCCTAAGACCCCGGGTTACATAAGCAATACATAGTTATGTGGGTTGTTCGAGAGTTGGTGACGCAAATTAACTGTAGAGTTTACACTGGATTGAGAGAATAATCTTGTTTAGTATTATCAGGAATTGGGTCTAGTTTACGTTCATTCTGGTGAAGTCATTCAGTTTGTTAATACCATTAGGGCGGAATGACTTAAATCTGTGCATCCAGAACTTTTCTTTGCTTTTTCTCTGAGCATCTGTCCATCTTGGGTTATGGTCAATCACCACTACTGTCATGTCCTCCCATTTGTGACCCTCAAAGTTGAAATGTTCCCCAACGGGTTCATTGAGTTTTTTGGTCCTAATGGTTGAACGGTGGTTATTGACTCTCCTGCGGAGATCTCCTGTTTCACAAATATACTGCTTTTATTCTCTCAATCCAGTGTAAACTCTACAGTTAATTTGCGTCACCAACTCTCGAACAACCCACATAACTATGTATTGCTTACACCTTTGTTAATTATTTTTTCCCGGTAATAAGTCCTTAAATATTTCAAAATTAATAATTGATCATAATTCATATGTTTAAATATCCCTGCTATATTATTTTTCTTTGATTATTCTTTATTAAGTAAAGTTACGCCATTTTGAGAGAATGAAACAATGTACGATTTACTGATTGTTGTAGTTAATAAGCATAATTAATTCGTTCAATTATGTAAATCGCACTTCACCCGAGTATACCCAATAGACCGGACGCATTTCATAGCGCTCCGGATTTCTTTCTTTATTAGTGTTCTTAAAAATTTCCAATTCAACATGTAATTAAGTATGTAAATATCTAGTGTTTAGTAGTTTAGTAGTAGTGCTAGTTGTTTTTGTTTCTCTTTTTCCTTTGTTCTTATGACTTTTTAACTTTTTTCTTTGTCCTGAGGAAGGGACAGGGCGTCCCGAAAATTTGACAATTTTTATTGTTCGTGTCGTTGGTCATTTTTAGTGCTTTATATAAATTTCCATCCGTGACCTTGTATCTACTTGGTAGATCCGACATTTAGGATATACAGTGTTGTTGGTTTTTTAGTGCTTTATATATATATATATATATATATATATATATATATATATATATATATATATATATATATATATATATATATATATATATATATGCAGGAAATGACGTTATCCACACCTTAACAAGGGATAAAAACCAAGAACTTCGTGTAGATGTCCAAAGTTATGACGGAGAACAGGCGTACGCTGTGTATACCACATTTTACATCGGAGACGAAAACAATAAATATACTCTGACAGTATCTGGATACAGCGGAACAGCGGGTAAGTAGTTTGCATGATACTTCAATGTACTGAGATGACGATATTGTATATTAACAATATATGGAGGATAAATGCATAGAGTGAAGAGTTTCAATACGTATTGGAATACATAGACTCTGAGAACATTGAAACTTCCAATTTTTACAAATTTAAAATATGTCCCTCAGCATAAATTGGATTTATTCAAGCTAACTTAATTCTTTCCAAGCCCTAGATCTCCTCTGAGAGTAATTGACTTCTCCTTGATGAGACAATATCGCATGCAAACTCCCAATACAACCCTCTGCCCATTTTCAGTTGATCTGAAAGTTCTAATGTATTTAGATAACGTATGCTGAGACACACCACAGTACATAGAGTTTGATTTGAACAAGCAACCTATTGATTATTCGACAAACCCCCTGGCCACTGAGCTATGAGCTCAGATCCTTTTTATCGTCAATAAATTTTAAGATTCCAATGGGCACGAGGTTAATATGATATGTTCGATCACAATTTATTTTAAAACATCATCAAATATTTTTAAAAATCTGGAATATTTTCCAGTCGCTTTATAGGCTCAAATGTACGTGAAATTGCATGCTTCCAATAATTAAAACTCGATATTTCCAATGTATTTTACGCAAAATATTCACTGTAGCATTCTACTTATCGTTCTTTACAACATATTCCGTATTCATTTCCAGTTCGCTATTACAAGGATTGGAACACAAAGCAGATTTCACTATGTGTATTTTAAAATTTTTTCAGAGATAATAAAATTTTCGTCTCACAATCCATAACAAGTAACTCGATCCATTGTAACGCTGAAAAGCCGTAGAATATTGACCAGTAGGTCATTTTTCTACATAGAAAAATGTCCCAGGGTCAACATTCAACGACAATTAGGGTCATTTTTCGACCGTAGAAAAACATTCCAGACCAGGAATCCTACGACTCCATAAAGGTTGAAAAATATAAAAGTCATAGAAATTTGATCCCCTATTTTTTTCTACAATGAAATCCTGTATCTTTGTCTCCGGATATTTTTTTTTATACTTTCAATGTAAGGAGGGGGGAGGGGTTATGTATCGTACTTCTTTCCAACATATATTTGATTATATATCAATAGCATCATCATAATCAATGTTTCTGGTATGGATTTTATTTTGGCGTGCAGAATCCAATTGAATATATATTACCAGGATAATTCATTGAGGAGCATAAATTTATGATAATATTTTGGGGTGGTTTTTTTCATTTAAACGTTTCATTCCGAAAATGGCATTATATGTTTCTAACTACCATAAACCTGTAGGGAGGCCCCCGAAATTAGCCCTTTTAACCATTCTTTTTTGGGTTAGGGTTAGAGAGGATTACAATTTTTACAAATACAAAAACAAAGCATAGAAGGAAGAAAAGCAATGAAATTTAACTATATAAAATAGATTCCATTAGTTCTTACATTTAAAGTAACATATATGAATGCATTCTGCTTTAAATACATTTTTTTAAACTACGTATACCTTATATAATCCCTAACAAAAATACTACAGTTAATTATAGTTTACTATAGTTAACTATAGTTATAACTTTGACACTTTGAAAACTTTGATTTACTATAGTGATAACTTTGTTACTTTGAAAAACTTTGGAAAAAACTTTGACACTTTGAAAAACTTTATCGAAAACTTTGATACTTCGAAAAACTTTATCGAAAACTTGATACTTCGAAAAACTTTATCAAAAACTTGACACTTTTAAAAACTTTATCAAAAACTTGACACTTTTAAAAACTTTATCAAAAACTTGAAACGTTAGAAAAACTTTATCGAAAAATTTAACACATCGAAAAAGCTTATCGAAAACTTTATCGAAAACTTGACACTTTTAAAAACTTTATCAAAAACTTGACACTTTTAAAAACTTTATAGAAAAATTTACCACTTCGAAAAAGTTTATCGAAAACTTTGATACCTCCAAAAACTTTTACGAAAACTTTGATACCTCAAAAAACTTATCGAAAACTTGGATACTTTAACACTTTGAAAAAGTTTATCGAAAACTTTGACACTTTGAAAAACTTTGACGAAAACTTTGACGCTTTGATTTACTATAGTTAACTATAGTAAACTATAGTTAACTATAGTAAACTATAGTATACTATAGTATTTTTTTGTTAGGGATGTATCATACTTTTTCCTTATATACGGGAAATACCATACACATCGGGAACATTCTTAAAATGATATATAAAAAAATAACCTAAAACGGACAAAAAATGTACAACTGTGTGAATAATAGTTCACAGATTTCTATAAATTCATCAAAAGAAACTTTCTTTTTCTATATATCTTAGCCCAAACACCTGACAAATGGTTTCTTCTGAGATTTTCTTAGACACTAACTTTACAAATATCTAAGGTCCTAGCACATACCCATGGCTAGCCTTTTTACTATTTATTCGTGAAATAAAAATATCTTTTAATAACATAGATATCTCTCTAGCATAGAGAGATATCTCTTTAGCTTATAGTGATATATTTTTGACTTAAAATGACTCTTCAAAATTAGAGATATCTCTGTAATTTAAAGGTACAATTTATTTTCCGAATATATAGTAAAAGACCCTGCCATAAATAACGTCCAAAAGTTAAGGCCAAAGTAAAAGTTTGGAATTTTTTTCAAAGTATGTCAAACTCCAAGGTAAAGGTAAAAAGGTCAAATTTGGTTGTTTCCAAAGAAAGGTCTTGTCACAAAAATACACCCGTGATCATGAAATATGAAAGCCATAGTCCCAGCCAATCAAAAGGTATGAGCAAGGTTAAAGTTTTTGCGGACAAACAGACAGACGGACGGACAGTTAAAAATATATATATACTCCCGAAACTTCGTTTGCAGGGGCATAAATATAATATGTAAACTGACAGCTCTTTCATAATGCAACATTTGATTTTTTTAACTGGTAAAAATTCCTCACATCATCAAATGTAAGTACATGTAGAAATTTGACAACGATACTACATCTGCGAATTTTGGGTATAACGAAAACATTTTTTAGTTAATTTTTTTTTTATGTATCAATCCTCATTTTGTTCAGATTTTTATGACACCAGCAAACGACAAAAGACATATTAGAGGTTTTGAGCTAGTCATTTTTTGGTATCATAGGTCAGAGGCATTTGAATTAAGTATTTTTTTTTACAAACTAAACCATCCCTATTTTTATGAGAAGTTTGAAAGTTCATTCATAGAAAACCAAATAAGATCTATTTTTCTAAACAAGCGCCCTTTTTCGCGCCAGTTTTAAAAGTAGATCTCAAAAATTTCTTTAGCGTAAAATCAAAGGGATAAACAATTATGGAACTTTTTAAAGTTTTCTCTTCTGACACCAGCTGGAAAATGATCTTTTGAAAGATTAAGATCACAACTGTGGAAATGTAATAAACAAATCAATGAGTGCGCATATCTTTGCTCTATAGCCTCAGAACACTTTAATAGATATCGTTTTCATTTGATGGAGATACGGTTTGTATTATTAATGTTAGGTATAGTATAGTTTTGATTTTGTTATTCTTTGTTTTGGTGTTTGTATCCATAACAGTAAAATTTGTATCGGTATAATAAAACAGTTAAAGTTTATCATTGGTCTTTCCACCATTGCAATTTTAATGATTAAAAGTACACAAATTGAATTTATTTTCATTTGATAAAGTTTAAATTTACGAATTATTTCCAGAAATATATAGGTCGGCATATTATTTAAGATGGGAGACGTAAATAAACAGAAGCATAAAATTATGTAAACATCAAAGTATTGAAAGAACTGAAAGCCGGGCTTTAATTGCTCGAATACATATGTATATTGTCTGATCCAAAATTTGTACAAATTTATTTTTTTTTCCTTTTGACCATTGATTTTTAACAGGTAGAGTTTGTATGATTAAGATGTAAAACAATATCTCATATACCAGTAATTAAAATTAACAGTCCAGACCCAATGATATGTTTTGATTTTATAATTTGATAAATAATATTTCCAAGAAATTCCCGCATATTTTCTATTCAAAAAGCTTTTTTTCCCTCATAATTTAAAAATTCAGTCTTGGAATACTTAAAATAATGCACATGTGTATTTTATAGACATTCTTTCAGCTTCAAACAAACATTACTAGCTTTTATCGCCAACTAGATGTAAAAACAATGATATATGTACATTGTCAAGCGACTTCACGTTTGGTTTTTTTGTTAACTGTGCTATTTATGGTAGGACAGTCGATCATGATGCTTATAGCCATGACTTTGCTGAAAGTCCGGCTAAAAAAATCGTATATTTTTGTAAACAGTATCGTAAATTAGTATGTAAAAAGTTAAAACTGATTCAAATGCATAGTTATGATGCTGAAAATTCCTAAATACTTGCTACTTATAAGATACTTTTGAATTGTTAATATCAGGGAAACTATTTTACATTAGAGGTACAATAAAGAAAATGAATGAAGCTACCTGAGCAGGAGTCGTTGCCCTTATCAACATTTTTTAAAGATTGAATACTTGATTAAATAAAGGAAATAAGCATTTTAAAATTTTTTTTATTTAACGATATTTATCATTACAACTAAAATTCCTTTATGTATTCTTATGCTTATATGCAAGCTCACCGCTGCTTGTTTTTGCTAATTTTGTATAAGTCAAATAAAACACTTTCATAGAGGTGAATAATGTCATTTATTAAAATGACGGTATAAATGTGAACAATTTAACAAACAAGAAGGGGATCAGATTCACAAGCTTTGATTAGCAGTTACGTAAAATATGATAATGTCTGATCCCCCAAAACTGACTAGAAAAAAGTATCTGTAAGACAAGACAATGAAAACTTCATTTGAAAAAGTTAGCAAAAAGATGGCACATCAAAACAAAATAGGCACTTCATATGAAAAAGTTAGCAAAAAGATGGCACATCAAAACAAAAACAAGTAGAATCAAAACATCATATTAAAAAGTTAGCAAAAAGATAG